TATGGAATTCATACCTGACTAAAACCACCCCGGTGGCCACCATCATCACCTACGGGGGGCACCGAATCCTCTATAATAGACCTGCTCCGAAATCCCCCGGTGAAACGCCTGTGATGGCACATCACATCATCATCATCATCAACATACCTAAGTACCTAATATCATTACCGTGTTAGTTATTAAGGTAATTGTTTAACGAGAGGTTTCAAGTTGTATTTCGATTAATAGGGATGATGGCAGAGCATGAAAATTAAAAATCGATTTAGTCCATCAGTTAGGTAATCAAAAAATACAAGACACGTGTTTTGTTACTTTGACATATAAAAAAATAAAACTTAGATAAAACGAATCAAAGTTTATAAGTGAGAGCTAAAACGTCATTTCTACGTTGAAATGCTGTAATAGAAGTAACGTCACGCGACATTTCAAATCAATACATCAGAGAAAGTTTTCGTTTCTTAAAAAAATTAAAAAATACATGTCTAGCTGTCTAGTATTTTGAAATAATCTACCACACGAACAATAATTATTAAAATAAAAATTTGTCATCTACACAATTAGAATATTATGGATATGTTTAAAATATCTGTTATTATAGGATAAGTGATATAAAAAAATAAAATACATAAGTTGCCAACACCGTGGCAATATTAACTTGGGATCAAAATGGTGGAAACATCTTTTTATTTTTCCACCATTTGAATTTAAAAAGTACCTGTAATTTAAGTGATTAACTAAGTTTATCTTAAATATGATGTTTTATAGCCTCTAGCCATCCTCGATAAATGCGCTATCCGACTCAAAAAGAATGATTCAAATCAGACTTGTAGTTACGGAGATTAGCGCGCTCAAACGTACAAACAAAAAAACAAACTCTTCCGCTTTATATATTAGTATAAGATTCGTACTGACAGAACTAAACTTAAGCGCTACTTAAAATTTAGTGGCGTTTCATTATTCGGGCATAAGTTGTGAAATGTTTCTACAAACATTTTCATTTCAGAAAAAAGCAATTAATAGTATTCGTACCTACACGAATACTATTAATTGCTTTTTTCTTCTTATTACAGGTAAGTTCCAGAAATTGGTAGCAGTATTGGTATGTTTTGTTCACGATGATTTTTCATTAATAAGTATAAAACACATATGCATTACATAGCACAATGTGACATAGGTATTTATTTATACTGGACTAACATAGCATACTAACTGTGTGTTCGTTTTTGGGAACAGCGAGTGTATTGTTATGTTCCCTAAAATTGGAAAGAACACGTATATTTTACTAAATATCCGACGAACTAATGCCCCACAATTGACAATACTTTTGTATTCAATCAGATTACCGTATTTAATATACACGATGTAAGGTTTACGAATCTTGTATAAAATATTATCAAATAATGTTAGGTACGCCATCTGTTGGCCAATTACTCGAACTTTTTATAATAACTATCGTGAGACATACTAAATTAAGTAAAAACGCGGGTTACTCACGTGAATATACTGAGAAAAGCTCTGCTAGTTTCGAACCACAGAGGGGTTCTTCCTCATGAGCAGCGTGCGCGGTCGCGGCGACGTCGCGCAGCTCACTGGCTGGCGTTGGCGCTCGCCTCGGTGTTGCCACTCGCGCTGCGAGCCCAACGCGCCCTCTGTCGGACACTACGAGCGTTTGCTTCCAACTCCGGCAGCGCGTTGGACGAAGCTAAAGCGCACGGAACGTTCACCAGCGGCGCGGGTCGTGGGTTCGATTCCGGGTTCGGCACAAAGTCAGTGTTGCATATAACGCTTACTGTCTCACACTCCAGACTGGAGACGCTGTGGATCGACGAAGACTCCAAGCTCGGCTTCCACGCGGGTGGCAGTGCCCAGCCACCATCCCTGTTGAAGCACGGTCGTCGGCTGATCTCGATGGCCTCTCGCACTTTTCGCGGAACGAAGTATTTTTCTCTCGCTAGTACGGAGACCTTATCAAAACGTATGAAGTGAGCCGCGTCCGTACCACAAACATGTTCAGCCACTGCCGATGCCTGGATGTCCATCTTCTTCACGCTGCGTATATGTTCCTTTAGCCTGGTTGTGATGTTGCGACGAGTTTCCCCGATGTAACTCGAGCCACAGTCGCACGGTATTATGTACACTCCGGGTACAGCCAGTGGATCCTTATCTTTAGGTGAGCGTAGTAGTTGTCTTAGCTGACCGGGTGGGCGGAAGATCGTCCTGATGCAGTATTTACGGCGAAGCAGGTGTCCGATTCTGTCGGTTACTCCTTTCACGTATGGTAAGAACGCTGGAGTCCGTTCCGCAACTGCCGGTCGCTTCCTACTCGAGCTGCTCGCAAGTCGAGTACATTGACGCCAGTTGTATCCATTGTTTTCCAGTACCCGTTTTAAGTGGTGAAATTCGTCGTCAATATACTGGGGATCGCATAGACTCAGCGCCCGGTTTATCAAGGTCCGGGGAACAGCGGCTAGATGGGAGGGATGATGGTGTGAGTCAGCTCGCAAGTACCGGTCCGTGTGTGTCGGTTTACGATACACTGTGTGTGACAATCGACCATTTTCTTCTCGTCTTACGAGGACATCCAAGAACGGCAACATCCCTTCTTGTGGCAACACCGAGGCGAGCGCCAACGCCAGCCAGTGAGCTGCGCGACGTCGCCGCGACCGCGCACGCTGCTCATGAGGAAGAACCCCTCTGTGGTTCGAAACTAGTAGAGCTTTTCTCAGTATATTCACGTGAGTAACCCGCGTTTTTACTTAAATTACTCGAACTGTCTGCGATAGTCTTGACTGCGAACTTTTAACATATAGATGAATAGAAACGCATCTATTGAAGGGATCCAGTGGTTTGAATATAATTTATGAACTTACCTAGAAGACACAACTTTACATTAGGTATACATTTCATTAGGATTTATGAAAATATTCAGGTATGTAGGAAGTATCTGTAATATTTTATTCGGTACTTTTGTTATCTTTAGACTGATAAATATAAATCAACTCCTATTATTTTTAATTAGCAATACTGTAGCTGAATAGTTTTGTATTATTATCTGTTCAGGCATTACAAAAATAATCAGGCGGGAGTATATTAAAAAGTAAACAAATATTTACTTATTCTATCTACTTCTAATCAGATATCATCATTTCACATATGGGCAAGTCTATTGACAAAACAAAAAGATAAACTCTTAGTTTGGTTTTAGTCTGATGCTGACAGCACGCAGAAACATATGAACTTCTAAGAGGCCGAGATATGTATATTCAAGAGTAGGAGAAACACGAATGAACCGCGTGGCTGATCGACCGAAGTGATAACACGGCCTCACAGAAAACCGACGTGAAACAACGCTTACACTGTATTCCTTCATGTGAGTGAGGTTACTGGAGGGCCAATTACCTCTCCCCATCTTCCCCAATCTCCCCAATAACTGAATGCTCAACAATCGTCAAATTCCTAATCTACAAAAGGCCGGTAACGCACATGTAACGCCTCTGGTGTTCCAGGTGTCCATGGGTGGCGCCGATTGCAGGTGATCCATCTGCGTGACTACCAAATTCCAAATCTCGGTTTATTACAAGCCTTAAGTAAATATCGTAAAATCCCAAGTGATATATTATATTTACATAAAGCGTTGGTTTAAGGCGTTACCAAATAAGAACAACTCTGATTTGTACTCCTTATCAGTAACCCCGCCTCAAGATAGAGTTATTACGCAAACAAACTACTGATATTGGATAATGTATCTAGTAAAAATATACTTTAATATTGTGTTATCCGATGTTTATTATTAAGTGGTTGAACTGACCAAATACTGATAATAAAAACTCCAATGAGTAATCTCAAGTTTATCAGTAAGTAACTAAATAAAGTGTTAAGAGATGACTTCGCCACGAATGGGCGGGCTTGATTAGAGTGATACCACGTCCTCACAGAGGACCGACGTGAACACGTGACGTGACGTGACATTTCGTCGAATGAGTAAGTGTACCCGAGGGCCAAATACCCCTCCTCCTCCAACAATTATCAAATTCCCAAAAGGCCGGTAAGGTAAAGCACTTGTAATGCCTCTGTGGTTCCAGGTATCCATGACCGACGCCGATTGCTTACCATCAGGTGATCTTGTTTGCCAGTATATCCCATAAAAAAAAGACTTTAAAATATATTATGAAATATTTCAACTCAAATGGTTGAGTTGGTACATATATATATCAGAGTGTTTAGTACAAGTTTGTTTTTCGTCTAACGATGTCAAAACGAGACCACGTTCGGCGCTCTGATTGGCCGGCTCCAATGAACCAACTAATAAAACTGTCGAACGCGGTGTCGTTTCGATCTAATTAAACGTAAAATAAGCGTCGTCCTGAGCTGTTTGGTATAGATTCCAATTGAAATAAATTATTTACCAGTGATCAATCACGTAGAATTATAATAGGCAGTATTTATTAACGCCTACTAATACACGAATACTAAAAATACCCGCGGGAAGAGGGGAGAAGAAGGGGTGATACATGCATTCTATTCTGCCGTAGCTACCAGCCACGTAATCAAACAATATTAGATTCCTTTTTTATAGAACAAGTTGGTAAACAAACAGACGAATCACCCAATGGTAAGCAATCGACGTCACTCACGGACATCCGAAACACCAGAGGTGTTACAAGTGCGTTACCGGCCTTTTGGGGATTAGGAATTTGAGGATTATTGGGGATTCGGGGAATGGGGAGATTGGGCAGAGGGGAATTGGGCCTCAGATAACTTCAATCACACGTCGAAACACAACGCAAGTGTTGTTTTACGTCGGTTTTCTGTGAGGCTCTGGTATCACTCCGGTCATGCTGGCCCATTCGTGCAAAAGCATAGCTCTCCCATGATGAATTTATTAGTTTACATTGCAAATTGTGAATTACTGACTTCAGTATCACTTAGGAGACAATTGAGGCAAAATAATGAAACGTATATAAGTACTAAAACAATTTTATTATACCTCTATTTACATAACAATTCACTTAACGCACATAACAAAAAAATATAATATAGTCTCATAATATTACATAGTTTTTTGCAAATCATCTCTACGACGATGCGAGATATTATTGTTTTCACCAGAGGGCATCGATATAAAGACTAACTATTGTAGCTATCAAACTTTCTTAGATGTGTCGAATGTGAATCTGTGTAGGTATGACTGAGTGTCACAAGGTATTATTATTGTATGTGTGAGTATATTTTATATTAGCCCCTCTGTTACCTACTTCCAACCCTTATCTTCTAATAGGGATGATGATAATGAGGTACGAAAATTAAATTACTATTTAATCCGTCAGTTAGGGAATGAAAAAATATTTAGACACGTATTTTTTTGTCGTTTAAGGCAACAAACAGTACTTAGATGAAACGTTTCAGCTCTCAAGCTAGAACGTCATTTCTAAGTATAAAACGTACCTAGAAGTGACGTCACATCACGCGATATTTGAAATCAATACATTGTCAAAAGTGTTTATAATATCCGTCTAAAAAATACGTGGCTAAAGAAAATAAAATGTATTTTAACACTCAATTGTGCCATGAATTCTTATATTATATGAGTATGCTCGTCCCTTCTGTGATTGGAAAAGGAATTTAACAAAATTGGTCCTAAGCCCTCCTTCAATAATACTCACACTCGCATTCGTAGTTGTTCCGACTTCAGAAACATGAATTGAAGTTATACTCGAATATTGAACCGTACGTATTAATACCTCTTGCGTTTGCACCACGTATACTGCTGCTTCAACTGCATGGTTGGTACTGAGGAATAATAAAATAGAAAAATGTTAGTCAGTGACAAATTTTCCGGACCAATTTCCTCTGTGTTGATAATTTATAAAATACTTTAGGGAGTTGTATTACGAAACCCGTTAACTGCGGCGCATTCGGTGGGTCGAGCAGTAGCAGCCGCCCGAATTCGTAAGAAAATAATGTTTTAGTAGTCGTTTCTTTCCGATTAAACTCATTTATCGAATCCTCCCCCCAGTCCCCAAATCCCTTTCGGATATCTATGGGGGGGCGCTCACTATGTAATACGTCTGCTCTCTTGCCAACCTAAGCCATAAAAAACCCAGTTGCTAAGCCACTACACCCATCTTGAGAAGCAAATTATTCTCACTTGGATAGCAGTCTGTCATCAGGTCCAAGGGTCCCCAAGGACAATCCACCGCGTGCCTCATTTTCAACTTGTGTCGCAGATGAGTAGCCCACTATCGCGCAACCAGCCCACAACACGATGACAAATATGCTCTTCATCTGCAAGAAATAGAAAATTACTTTTACTTACTGGCTTTTACGAGTAATTTTACTTTCAGTGAGTGATACAACAGCCTTTATATAAAACCAGCGTAGAATGTTCGCTTCGAATAAGGTTACCGTAAGTAGGCCCAAAAAGCCTCGGTGACCTCCCCAATTTCAAATCCCTCCAAAAGACCAACAAAACATTTGAAACTCATCTGGGTAGCCTCAACCATCAGTTGATTCGTCTGTTAGTTTGCCGGCGTACCATATAAACAAAATCTTGTACAACTTTAATACACCACAAGTGGTATGTTTCTTGGACAGAAGTACATTTTGCAACAGAAATACATATTTTGAAATGCAATTTAATGGAATTATGTCATATGTATGACAATTTCAGGCGTCCATGGTCGTCTCCAGTTGCTTACCATCAGGTGACCCGTATGCTCGTTTACCGGATCATGCCATAAAAAATAGGATACTGAGTCTAATAAATGTGTAGTCTCACCTTTGTTCCTGCAAAAATTAGCTCTTAAACGTGCCGAAACCCTTCTGATTAGTTTTTTAATGATTTTCTATTTATATTGGCATATTCACGTGGGAAGAAAAGATAAGATTAATATAAACTTTATATTATCAGACACTCCGATTCATAACATGAAGAGATAGCAATCTTTCAAGGATATGTACAAACATTTTTATAATAAATCTAATCAAATAATTAACGATAGAAATCTAACTAATATTATAAATGCGAAAATTTGTGTGTTTGAGCATTTAATCGGGGCATAAAGTATCCTATCACCTAACTCAGCCTATACCCTGCCTGTGTACCAAATTTCATCAAAATCCGTTCTGTGGTTTCATCGTGATTGACGGATAAACATCCAAATAAAGAAACTTTTAGATATATAATATTAACTGTGATCCTAAACGATCTCCGGCCACCGTAAACGCGGGCCTGCGGACAGCGAGCATGGGTAGCTCGCCGTCTAAACAGAACCAGACCCGAGCATACGGCGCGTCGCGTTCCGCGCGGGCCTCAAAGAGCTATCAGACCACCACGGATGAGGCCCAATAGGGCTAATGCCGATACGGAGCCACGTAGAACCGTAGAACCAGTAACGGGTTAATGGAGCTCCGGCTCGAAGTGCAGGAGTAGGAACGGGGTGGTTATAAGTCATTAAGAGTCTGACACTCCCTCCCGCCTCACTCAGGCGGGAAAAAGTGTCAGACATTACACTACGATAAATAAGAGCCGAGCAGAGCGGGTGAACCGCGCGGGAGAAGCTAGTATATTACAAATATAAAGAAATAATTATCAGGTGATTGCAATTGTCAATCCTATCATAAAAAATCAAATAATCTTCTATTAAAAAACGTTATTGACATACATTTAGGGGCTTTACAGCTTATTATATTTATTTAACTTGATGATTTCAAGAGAAATAGATAATCTTATCTTGATAGACTGAGCGAGTATTTTGATATAAATAGAGATACTTTTGCTTATACAATCAAATGTAAACCGTGCGGTTAGAAGAGGCCAGATTTGGAAATTAAAGGTAACTATGTTTTATGCATTATTTTGTTCAACCACCCGTTCCCGTGTATAAGACACAATAGAAAATACATTGCGTCTGACGTGGTTCTACGTTTAGACATACGAGGGGTTCAATTTTTACTTTTGTACCATCATCAGAATATCATTTTTATCTCCTAGGAAACTAAAATACTACAAAGTACTATGAATTATTAACCACTCACCAGCTATGTTTCTAGTCCCATTGCAAAGTGGGTGAAAGAAAAAGAATTTATTTGACAGTTGGCACGCACATAGATATAAAAGAAAAACACAAAGCATAGCAGTAAAGCAATATAGCATCCAATATAATCGCACTTTAGGGATCCGTCAAAGGAAACGTGCAAACTAGATGACATTCAGTATCGCAAGATACTCAGGAAATTTTCCAAACATTATATGTATAATTGTATATATTGTGTTATGAGTGAAGATTTCTATTGAAAAATGTAATAATTTTCAGATGAAAATCTTTATAGTACTCGTGGTATTAGCAGCTGCAGCCGCTGCAGGAGTCACTAACAATGACCGAGAACAGGCAGCAGCACTAGAAAATAAAGAGCTTCATCTACCAGATATAGTAGATAATAATGAGTTGGATGTACCAGAAAAAAATGAGCCCAATGTACCAGACCGGCCAGACAATACTGAACTGGATGTACCAGAGGATGAAATAGGAGAAGAGGACGAGGAAACTGGTCTAGCAGCTGCCCGTAATAATCTCTCTTTGGGAACTTTTGGTGCTGACGATAGGTTGATGTCTAGGTACGTTGCATAATTAAACACTGCATTAACTGGTACAACTTCCAAACCTTCAATAGAAGATCGAACTCCCTAAAGGCCGCCAACGCATTTGTTAGGTACTCATCTCGTGTTGCGATTAGTCATTGGCGGTAGTTGTCACTTTAACCATCAGTGGATCAATCTTTACTTCACGTTAAAAAACAAGTGACATGTACAGATGTGTTATAATTTATAAGAACTGGTGGATATATGTTCATGTCCTAAATCTGTCGTGAAATGGGACCAATTCTACTGGCTCCTTCTGCTCCCGCCCTTGTACCTTGTACTACTGTCTACTGGTACATTTATTGTTGTTCGCACCATCTGATGTAGATTTGATCCCCGCATATAACATTTCTTTATCTAATCCATAAAAATTACAATTTTATAATAATATCTCATCTGTGTTTGGCAACACCCATGACACCGAAGAAAGAGTTTGAAAAAACTTTATCTTTCAGGATCACTCATAACGTCGCTGCAGCTACTTTATTGATACATGATCAAGAAATAACCTTCCGTGGAACAAGAGGAACTAATATCACAGCAATCAGGGTTAATCAAGTTGGAACAAATACTCCCATAGCAACTCGAGTTGCTGGTGGTCTTGGATCAGAATTTGTCACAATCCGAATTCAATCCGGTAGAGGACGAGCATTCTCCTACACAATCTTAGTTTACGCAGCCATTAATTGCTCAAATAATTGAATTCGTCATCTTAAATAAGTTGTAACTGTTCGAGGTATCTCGAATTGTTTCAAGCCACATGAGATCCCGTAGTTATTAGCATTGCTCGACAATCGGTGCGACGAGAAACGAATCGAGTTACCTCGTCAAATAGATAAGTGGGTACGCCATGTAAAATATAATTAATTTAATATTTCTCACGAGGCTTATGATACAATGTTGGTATCTCTTACTGATTGGTTATCAATATTATTAATTTATACCACAACATAAATATTGAAAAAGCACCATTAATAACATTGGCTCTCCACCTTGTTTTTACAAGCCCTTTCATTTAATGTAATTTGATTTTTTAAAGTGAGCCAACACTGTTTACACAACACATTTCAAGAAATCGGTTTCTAATATACATTTGTCAGTGTAACATTTAATTAAAGGCTAACACATCATGCACAAGAGATGCACACATCACGTAGTGGTTATCAAAGCATTTTTCTATTTTAGGACCCGTGAATGGCCAGGGTAAGTTCAAAAATATTTGTGATATTAAAAATAAACTCCTAATGACTACTTAAAAGTTTACTGGTTCTAAAACACCCATTGCTCTGAAATAAAATATAGGCGTTTTTAGATATAACATTATATTATTTTAATAATAAGTAGATATAAAAGTTTTAAAACTATATACATATAAATCTGTTTGTTTTCTTGATTTTCCTTAATATTAAGATGGTGAAACATACCAATATCCATATTTTTTAGGGAACAGTTTAAAATAGCTTTTTATGAGATATGAAAGAAATGAATATACGGATCACATGATAAATAAAGTCAAGTCAAGATCAGCGCTATTCATGACATCACATCTGCAATACCCGAGGAATAACAAGTGCGTTAATCCCCTTGGGTGTTCGGGCCGATGCTCCAGCTCAAAGGAGAAGTAGGAACGGGGTGGTTTTTAGTTAGTAGAAGTCTGATACTCTCTCTCGCCTCACCCTTGGTAAAAGAAGTCGTTCGGTAATTTTTCTTATCAAAAAAAGGAGGAGGCGTCTTGCAATCTTATCCACATAATTATGTTTAGTTCACTAGCTATCTTACAGTTGATATTGATATGGTTGTGTGGTTACTGAAATATCTTCAATGGTTTTTAAAATAGTATTAGTAATATACTTAAGCCTTTGACTGCCGACAGAAAATTGCTGAAGGCAAATCCTCCGCTAACGTTGGTCACCGGTGACCTACGCGGCGGTTAACGTGTTAATATATATTATGTAGAAGCATTTTACAATCATATCAAATACTCAAAAACTTCGTAATTTGGAGTTCAGCGTCCGTAGATTCGAATCCTGAAGTTGTAGCCGCGACCTCTAGCGGATTGCAGCTTGATGGTCACAAAGTTGCGATTCAGTCCTCCAGCAATTATGGATGCTCTGGAACCTTGCATAGGGCCAATATGTGTGATATGGATAGCCGTAATAAGATGCGAACCGGTCCGGAAAGTTACATTCTGTACGTAAGTCACATTTGGCTTCCCGCGTCTGACGTGGTTGGATCTAAAACCAAACCTTACTGATATTATAAATGTAAGTGAATTTGTATATGTTTATTACTTAATCGCGTCAAAACTGCTAAAGGGATCGGAATGAAATTTGATTCAGGTGTAAATTATGATATATATTTTTGTACCACGGGAACGTGGGCACGACCGCCAGCGAAACTTGGGCTGTAGGCATGAAGTTTTGAACTTGAATCCTATGTTCGGCAAGAATTATTGAGCTTGAGCTTTAAACCTGAAATGGGCCTGAAACACTCATACCCATGATATATTACATTACATGTAGTAGTAAATTGGACTCCATAGTAGGAATAAGTAGGGTCTTAAATTAAGTGTAACCACCTCTACTTATGATTATGTATTCACACTTAACCAAGTTTAGATTACGGCTTCATACCTGGCGAGGAGTTTTCCACTGCGTGCACCAATACTGCAACAGGTAGCTGCATCAATACTCGGACTAGTAACCTCACCAATAGGAACATCGGTCACGTCAGCTACGTCAGGTTCATAGCTAATATCAGGGTCATCGCCCAAGTCAAACTCCTCAAATGTTTCAACCAAGTGAGGATCAGCAGCCGTTTCTTGATTGATGACAGCTGTTGAGGCTGCTACTACCAACAAAACTATGAGGAACAGGCTCTTCATCTGAAATATAGGCAAGGTTTTTAGATAGATAATATATCATCGCTTTTTTTTTCAAAAACAATTTAACTCCTCACTAGATTTTTCTCCTCTTTTGTGGGTGTATTTACAAACACATCAGAGTTAAAATATAGGAGAGCCATAAAAAGATTGGTAGGTCCCATAAAAAGTGCAGAAGACATCTTTAAGAATTCTTGATATAAATAATAAAAAACGACAAACCTTGACCAAACAATTGTATTCCTTCGAAGGTAGATTCTTTCAGGATATGCTGTTTTAAACTATAACTGTCTTAGAAAAGGGTCTAGTATTTATAGTAGAAAAGAAGAAAAGATAAGACAACGTCTATCAATGTACCTCTACAGTGAGTAGCAGATCAAACTACCCTTTTCTATCAAATTTCTTTATTGAACTCTATCTTTTATATATAAAGTCCAAAATCCAATGACAAAAATTGATAGATTAGAGTAGATTTATGTGCTGGCCACCGTACTAAGACATGAACAATAGCTGTGATTTTATTGTCATTAATAACTTTATTGTCTGATAGCTTTGTGATAATGTTAATCATTGTTGATATATATTACAAAAGAGTGTTGTTAAGAAACTTCAAGGAGAGTACGAACTACGACTTCGTTCTGTAGTTTAGTAATTTTTATAGGAACTCAGTATTTGCTAATGTGGTTAATGAACCACATTAGCAAATAATGTAGTTGATAATTATCAAAGTATACTTTCAGGACAACTATGAAATGGTTTTATTTAGTTGGCCCCTTCGTTTGATTGAGTCAAGTAATTCAAATTTAACCCCCTTCCAGATTGATCTCATGTTTGGAACACACTCTTAATCTTGATTAGATACCTCCATTATAGATATTAAAGCTTGCTTGCTAGAATAGAGGTCAATAAAACCACTTCATTTGTTTAAAATGATAAATATTTGTACCAGGTCAAGTCAAGAAAAATGACAATGTAAGTTAGAATGCATTTCCTGTACGAAACATATTATACCTATAATTTATCATAACTGGAAGAAATTGTGTGCCCTGGGAATAATTATAGAGAAATCATATTATTTATACACCACTGACATACGGTGAAGGAAGACATCGTGATTGGTCAACAGTGGACACTTATAGGCTGTTGATGTGATATTGATAACATTTTCTGTTTCAATGCTCATTAACTAATCTCTCAAATCTGCGGTATTATGCCAATGATTACACTGGCATATACTTTTAATTAAATGCAATTCTAAAACCAAATCAACAACAAACATAAATATCTAATGGCACGTAGCAGTGTGCTACGGCGTAGCTCTCCTACTACGGCGTAGCACCTCGTAGCTCCATACGTAATGCAGTTGTTGTTTATATGCATTGCACCTGTTTATAAAACTAAAATAAAAAGTTAATACAAGTTCAGGCTACTTTTTGACGTATTAAAGTCATCATTTATTTCAATTAAACCTTAATAACGCGCTTGAAACATTAAAACTGAATTGTCAATGGGTAGTCTGTCTGTCAATGAAGCTGAATAAATCAAATGATATCAGTATTTACACCTGAATTTACTCGTGCGTGATTCTCCAAAACAAAACCGAAAAATTAACGGCGTCATTATCCTTAAGCCACAGTTAACAATTCTGCTGATTAAAATACAAAGTTTAGTTTCAAAAAATTGAGCCGTGTCACTGCTCTCACCCAATGCAATAAAATACAGATGCTAATAAGTTACTGCGATGCTTAACAACGCGGGAGGATAATGATTTGTTAAATAAAAGTTAAAGTTTTTTGAAGAAACACCCTCGTACTAAATTAATGAAAGGCTCCATTAAAGTATTAAAGATAAAAATACGTAAAAGCGAGTAATTGATGCATGATACTACTATCAGTGAATTAATAAACAATATCAAACGTGGCCTTGAACGTTTGGACGTACTAGAATGTTATATAAAGTAAGTCAATTATTATCTTTGTGTGTAACGATACAATCAAAAAGAAAGTTGCAAATTCTCAGTAGTAGCACAGAGTCTGGAATTGTACCCGGTGTATGGCAATAGGCTCACCCCCTGTTACATGGGACTAATAACGTAAAATATGAAAAGTGGGTGTTACCTAGTACAGTTCACGTCGGTTTTCTGTGAGGCCACGGTATCACTCCGGTTGACTCGGCCCATTCGTGCCGAAGCATGCTCTCCCACACTTGATTATTCTTCACATTACTTTATCGTGTTTTTTTTCTTGTTTTTCATCCATGATCATTGTAATTTAAACTCTTTGCCGTGCATCATGTAATGATTGTAGTATATACTTATCACAACTTCGTACTACTGCTACTTCTGCCTATTGTAAAAGAGAACGGGAAATAGGCAGAAAGGACAAACCAATTGCGGTCTCCACCTCGCCTGCCAACTATAGAGATCATGGTACATCAAGGAGAAGGCTTATAATCTAGTAAACTAGTAAGTAACGAGCTGTCGATGGCAAGTAATGAAACTGACGATGACTGCGCGGTTAGCGCGGTGGCTGGGCAACTGACTACCGCGTATCGTGTCGCGGATTCGATTCCCGCGCGGAAAAACTCTTTGTGACAATCCACAGATTGTTGTTCTGGGTCTGGGTGTCATGTGAATGTGAACTTGTATGTTTGTAAACGCACCCACGACAGGAGAAAATCCTAGTGTGAGGCAACGATTTTATAATAAAAAAATTAAAAACAAAGAACAAAACTATAAATATATTTATTTCTACAACTCAAATTGATCAAAAATACGTACATTACTTGTCCTTATATAAATATTTTAACAAAAAACTTCAAGGTAAACGTTACTTTCTTCCGTAGATCTCGATGCAGTACCGATAACCATGTCCTTTCTGTGAATGTAGTCTGATGCACACATGGTTATGCCCGACTCCTCCTGACACCACGGATGGGCGTACGTTCTCTGAAACCGATCCCCCACGAATCGCAGTTATTATAATAGTGGTAGGACAGCAACGAAAATAAATATCTTCTGATACATTTGTATCGCCGTCACTTTTGAAATGATGGGTTCTAAAAAAATTAAATGGCATAAGACAATGAATGCCAAATATGCCAAAAAGTTAAATTCGGACTGACTATAGATCAAAATACTATTTTGGGATCACCCCTACTACATATAGACTAGCCAGCTATAACTGATGTTGATATAATTTTGTTGAATTTTTTATCAAACACCTTGTCCGGGGTAACATTTTAAGACACTCTCACTGATGTCATTCGGATCGCGTATATTCGAATACTAGTAGCGAAATTGTGTAATAACTTACTTGGACAATAAAATATCACGTGCACCGATGTTCCCCAGACTAAGATTACGATGAATCATGCCTTCTTCGACTGCCATTCTAAATAATTCAGCCCATTCATCAATATCGGTCGCCGTTGGTGTTGGTGATATTCTAAGCATCACATCTTCTTCATAATGATCAGGTGTATCGTCAAGATCTGGGGACACAGTGTCTTCTTCTTGATTATCTTCATCAGTCACCTCATAATCGAGAATAGATGCTGACGCTGCTGCAGCAAGTAGTACGAGAAGAAGTAGAACTTTCATCTGAAACTGTTTTGAAGACATTTATTACCATAATGTCAATGGCTATTGTACTCCCTCATAATTGGGTCAAACATCAACTAGATGGTGATGTGAACGCAAGCTCGTCCTTTTTAGGATTCGCAAAGTCTTTTTGTCCCCACTACAAATCTGAAAATATGTTTAAAAAATGAAAACGCAAGTCACCTTTTCGGTTTCGCTCCTCTCTGAAAACGGCTACGAATTTCAATGAACACTATAAGAATGTAAGCTTTAAGCAGATGAATATTTAATATATTACAATGTGACACGATAATAATTGACCCACATGTCTACTTGTGACATTGACTGTTGTCAATTGGACGGTGAATAAATCAAACATAAAATGAGGTGAAACCTCTTTTCTACGAAATCACAAAATTATATTTATAAGCTAAAGCAAATAAGAGCATAGATATAGTTGAGCACTGCAAAGTAAAAAAAAAAACATTTAGTAAAAAAATAAAGATTTGAAAGCAAAAGAAATAATTAGTTGATCTACCAACTCAGCATCTCCAGATTGTAGTGCCTTATCGTCGTGAGCTGTGAACATATTTTAGGTGACATGGGCAATGTCCAGTTTAGTGCTACTTACTTGGCGAGCAGCCTGCTGTTGCCGATGTTTCCCAAGTTGAGGATGCGACGACTCTCGATCTCTACGCTTCTGCTACCAGCCTCCACTTCAGCCACTTCAGCATCATCGCTGTACATAATGCTCTCATACGTGACGACTGCCTCAGGTACCTCAGCTATGTCCTGGCTGACGATGGCGGCTGAGGCTGCCGCTGCCAACAGTACTACGAGGAGCAGGCTCTTCATCTCAAACACAGCAATGTATGAGCGTAAAGCTAAGGATGTCTTAATCAACAGTGTGGTGTCTACTCATGGCTGGTTATGGAAAGCAGATTGTCCTCGCTCTGTGTAAAATATCAACATAACTGAATCTGGTGGACTCGGTGGAAACAGCTTTGGTTGGAAAGACCATTCATAAGTCACTCACAATTTCAATATTTCGTCGTGGAGTTTCTCAAACAAAGAAGGTGGATCTTTTTAAGATATTGAGTTCGCTGTGACTGTAACAGTCTGCTGAATGAAGCACTATTCATAGTGGGCAATTCAGTGATAATATTTGATTACTTACAAGCGTGTCAATAACTATCTATTATAATATAAATACTATATACAATCTACTACTGATATAAATTCATACTATAGATAGCATTGACATAATTTTAAATAATCAAAATTAATCAAATAATATGATAACTGATATGACTAATTGACTACTATAAATAGTGCTTCATTGAGTTAACTGAGACAGTCACAATACACCCACTATCCTGAGAGGATCTACCTTCATTATTTAAGAAGCTTTACGAAGAAATATTAAAAAGGTACATGATTTTTTACTACTAAAAAATATTTTATCATGCATAACTTCACAAATTCTTCGCCATATAATTATTTTGACTGGAACCGAGGATTTTTAACAAGTTGACCAACTTCAGCGACATCAATATTTTACACAGAGCCAGGCTGCTTTCCATGAATAGATGAGGGACAAGAGTGATAGCACATTGTTGGTTATCCAGTCCATCATATAACGTCATCAGGATTACGCTCATACCTCTATATTTCTGTGTTTCAGATGAAGAGCCTGCTCCTTGTAGTACTGTTGGCAGCGGCAGCCTCAGCCGCCATCGTCAGCCAGGACATAGCTGAAGCACCTGAGGCAGTCGTCACGTATGAGAGCATTATGTACAGCGATGATGCTGAAGTAGCTGAAATAGAGGCTGCTAGCAGAAGCGTAGAGATCGAGACTCGTCGCAACCTCAGCGTGGGAACTATCGGCAACAGCAGGCTGCTCGCCAAGTATGTAGCACTGGGCTGGACATTGCCCATGTCACCTCATACATGGGGATGTTCACAGCTCACGACGATAAGGCCTTATAAGCATATTCATCAACTAGATCAAATAATTAGTTGCTGACTAATTATTTGCTTGCTCTCAAATCTTTACGCAATGTTTTTTTTTTACTTTGCAGTACTCAACACATCAGAGGCGCCATCGCGAACACAATTCTCGTCCACAACGCTACTTTCAATTTCGCCTCCAGTATCAGAATAGCCGCGATCCGAGTGACGCGAGTGGGAGCCTCACAGAACGCGACCCCGTCCATTGTGTCTGGAGGTCTGAACCGTAACTTTGTGACAATCAGAATTACGTCCGCTAGAGGCCGCGGCTTCAACTACAGAATCCAGATCTACGGACGTTAAACTCCTCCAATTGATACCCTTCTTGGATTTGAAGGAAATACTGATTAGTTTTAATATTGATTTGTGATTTTATATGTGTACAATAAATGTTTATTACTTCACAAAGTTATTTTTGAACTTTCTCGAATTTCGAGAGTAAACAGTACCCTATAGTACCTAATTATATTATGAAACTGATATTAAATACATCATTGAATAGTCCACCATGTTTACGATTGAAACAATTATAACATCGCTAGACTGTGACTGCTTTTTTCCTTGAATATTTTGATCAACAGTAGTCGTGTAGTGTTCCTGTTTCTTTATCCCCGAAAGGTCAAATACAGGTACAGAGATCTAACATCCTCCTTTCACCAGTTGTATAGTACTTGGCTTTCTGTAACTGAAAAGTTTCAGAATCCGGTGATACATGCATCTAACGAATGCAGCCTAGCTAACATTAGTTTAACTTGTGGTATGTCGGACTCCGTGTAATTAAGTACATCGACAGTTTAAGGTATCAACTTAATGCCTTCTGTTCCCCCTGTAATTGTAGGCTCTTTTAGTTTTGTTCTTTTGTAAAATTTTTGATGAAGTTTAAAGAAAGATGTGGTACAGACATGCGATATGCACAAAATAATTTGGATGATATACATAATACATACGCCACGCTATCGTCTACACGCCACATATTTTTGCTACGGTATAGTACTGTGACTATGACGTAGCTTGTTACACGCAATTGAATTGGTTGAGTTTTAATTACAGTTTTAATAAGTTTTATTGAATTTTTCATTTCTGAAATACAATAAAGATATGACTATACAAGGACGTTGAAAAAAAGCTGGATATAGTCCCTTGGAACAACGACTGTGGCACCTGGCTACTATAGACTTACACGCAGAATATACACACATTGACTAGAAGGATATCTGCCGCGTGACATGTTCCGTCATAACACTTCATACATTATGGTGTTGTAAGTACACGCATACATACATACACCACTGACATTTTAGTGCTTCAATCATTTCTAAGTGATAATACCTCCCCCTCTTTTTCAATGTCCTTGTGCCTGTACACAGTGAAATGTATTAGTTTAAAAAAATTATGGAAATACGCACATGAAACACTAGACGTAAATTTGTAGGCACTATTCGCATCGCATGTGCCACCCAACCAAAACTACCTCTTCTAGAATTAGATGGCGTGATGTTTTGATAATGTACTATGAGTTCGTATGCGCTTGCGAAGTTTGTTTTTTGCAATCGTACACCAGTTATTTTTTATTTCTACACGTTTCATTTATTTGTAAAACAATTGTATTACCAAGTCAGAACCGTGTTACATCCGGACGAAAACGAAATAGATTTCACGGCGTATAGATGTACCTTTTACCTAGAGGAGGCAGCGGACTGTAGATGATAATTCCGGACTTCTTGCACCTACTTTGATTATGATGATAATTTTTAGTGTCTCATTGTTGTTTAATTCATTTATGAAAGCCCTAATTAAATCTCAACCAATTTTGTATTACTAGCTACGCCGTAGCCATAGAACTACGCCGTAGCAAAATATGTGGCATATAGATAGATACCGTGACGTATGAATACCATTTAAATTATTTTGTGCAAATTGCACGTCTGTACCACATTTTTCTTTAAACTTCAATAAAAATTTGACAAAAGAACAAAACTAAAAGAGACCGTAAGTACAGGGGGAACAGAAGCCATTAAGTTAGTACCTCAAACTGTCGATGTACTTAATTATATGAAGTCCGACATATCGCATGTTAAGATAATGTTAGCTAGTCATTCGTTAGATGCATGCATCGCTGAATTCTAAACTTCTCAGTTACAGAAAACCTAGTACAATACAACTAGCGCAAGGAGATATAAGATCTATTTGATCCTTCGGGGATCGGGGAGCGGGAAAAGTCGTGACATTTTGTTATGTGACAAACAGATAAAATTTGTTTGTATACACCTCTTCAGCTTTATTTGTAGTCTAAATAAATAACTATCGTATCAAGATACCGTGGCCCTCCAATAAAGAAACACGAACAGTACACGACTACTGTTGGTCGAAATATTAATTACTAGCTTCTTTCGCATAGTTCCACCCGGTCTGCTCGGCGCCTATTGATCGGAGCATAGTGGAGCGGAGTCATAGGCTTCCTCGATAAATGGACTATCCAAAACAACAATATTTTTTCAAATCGGCCTAGTAGTTCCAGAGATTAGCGCGTTCCAACAAACAAACTCTTCAGCTTTATATAATAGTAAGTATAAGATTAGATATATCCAGAAAAAGCAGTCACAGGGCCTTTTTCACTATATCTGGATAGCCGTTATCTACCAGGTAAATTTGAATTAAGAACGTAATTTGTGTAAACTATCGGTCACATAAGTTTATCAGGGGTGGTGAAACCGGCGCACAGTCTAGCGATACAAATGCAGTATTGCGAAAGTTTTTGGACTATTGTTTGAGTCTTAAACATTGTGGGCTATTCAATGATATATTTAATATCAGTAACATATTATAATTACTATAGTATGCTGTATACTCTCGGAATTTAAGAAAACTCAAAAGCAACTTTGTGAAATAATAAACATTTATTGTACACATTAAAAATCACAAATCAATCTTAAAACTAATCAGTATTTTCTCCCACTTCTAGGAGCGCGTCACTTGCAGCAGTTTAACGTCCGTAGATCTGGATTCTGTAGTTGAAGCCGCGGCCTCTAGCGGACGTAATTCTGATTGTCACAAAGTTACGGTTCAGACCTCCAGACACAATGGACGGGGTCGCGTTCTGTGAGGCTCCCACTCGCGTCACTCGGATCGCGGCTATTCTGATACTAGAGGCGAAATTGAAAGTAGCGTTGTGGACGAGAATTGTGTTCGCGATAGCGCCTCTGATGTGTTGAGTACTGCAAAGTACAAAAAAACATTGCGTAAAGATTTGAAAGCAAGCAAATAATTAGTTACTGGATCTAGTCGATGGAGATGCTCGAAGTGCCTGTGAACATCTCCATGTTTTAGGTGACATCTGCAATGTCCAGCTCAGTGCTACTTACTTTGCGAGCAGCCTGCTGTTGCCGATGGTTCCCACGCTGAGGTTGCGACGAGTCTCGATGTCTACGCTTTTGCTACCAGCCTCTACTTCAGCCACTTCAGCATCATCGCTATACATAACGCTCTCATATGTGACGACTGCCTCAGGTGCTTCAGCTATGTCCTGGCTGACGATGGCGGCTGAGGCTGCCGCTGCCAACAGTACTACGACGAGCAGGGACTTCATCTGAAACACAGCTATATATGAGCATGAAGCTGATGATGTGCTTACCAATAATATCCCTCACTATCAGCGACTCATAGAGGGCAGACGGCCTTGATCCCATGTAAAATATTAGCACTTACGATTACTTAAATATTTTGCCAACCATCAAACCTGAATTACCTGGTTGACCCCAAACTGACAGGAAAAGTCACAAAATATTATTAAAAGTAAAATTTTAGATTTACTAAAATGTCACTCACCTTTTAATATTTCTCAGTAATGTTTCTCAAACAAGAAATGTAGATCCTTTCAGGATAGTGAGTTCGTTGTGACTGTAACAGTCTGCCGAATAAAGCACTATTTATAGTGGGCAATTCAGTGATAACTATTTGATTAATTTTGATTATCAAGCATGCCAATTGATATCTATAGTATGCGATTACACCTATAGTATGATTTAGCATAATGATAAATAAATAATTTAACTGGGTTATACATACCTAATTAATATTGATGGACATTGTGATGCCATAATCAGATAAATGAGCAGACGGATCGCCTGATGGTAAGCAAGCGGCGCTGTCTATGGACACATGAAATACCAAGGCGTTGCAAGTACGTTACCGGCCTTTTGGAAATTGGTGATTGGGGAGACTGGTGAGGGGGTTAATTAGGCCTCCAGTAACCTCAATCACACGACGAAACAACGCAAGCGTTGTTTCACGTCGGTTTTCTGTGAGACTGTGATATCACTCCGGTCGAGCCGTCCCATTTGTGCCGAAACATGGCTCGCCCATACTTAAATATTGTCTTTTATAACCTTCACCTGGTTGACGAACAGAACAGCTCCATTCTTCGAGTGCATAACTGGTTCACCATTAATAATCTAGCGCTTAATGAGAAAAAAACAAAATTTATTAAATTCAGTTTACCAAACGTCCGAAGTAATGATTGTGATGTTAGAATTTGTCGACGACACGATATATTTAGGCATTACATTAGACAATAGACTATAAAGCCCGCATATAAAGGCGCTTTCGGGGAGATTAAGCTCAACTGCTTTTGCAGTTAGACAGATTAGACAGCTCACGGACGTAGATACGGCAAGGCTTGTCTATTTTAGTTACTTTCACAGCATTATGTCGTACGGCATTTTGTTGTGGGGTCGAGCTGCAGAAATAAAATCAATTTTTATTCTTAAAAAGCGGGCTATCCGAGCAATATATAACTTACGCCGTTGCGAATCGCTAAGAGAATTGTTTAAAACGATAAACATCTTAACGGTGCCCTGTCAATACATATATGAAAATATAATGTATGTAAGAAAGAATAGGCAATTGTTCGAAAAAAGAAGCGATAGACACAATCTTAATACTAGAGGCAAGAATAAGTTAGCTGTACTGCAATTCAGACTGTCCAAGGTACAGAAATCCTTTATGGGGTTAGGTATTAAATGCTATAATAAAATACCAAATAGCATACTAGATCTAAATGAAAGTAAATTTAAAACATATATTAAGCGCGAATTATGTAAACAAGCGTACTACAGGGTGATTGATTATCTTGAGGATAGGAATGCTTGGCAGCGTGTTGGTTCGGCTCCACTGGACAATACTCAAATGTAGTCAGTACCTAGTTCAGATTACGATAATAGGTAATTTAACACTTTGATTCCGATGAAGGCAATCTATTTTTCTTGTGGCATCGAGCATTTCTTTCTTTATTTAAACAAGAGTATATTTTTTATTTTTTTCTTGTATAGAAGCACTATTTTATATGGATTGTCAGTATACATATGTGAGGACCATGTCAGACTTAAGATATTTGTTTTCTCTTGGTTTTTTTTTTTTTTTCTATTTTAGTATGTTCTGTTATTTGTATGTTGCGTCAGGTATGTCTTTACATTATTCTCACATGTGTGTACAATATTGGAATATGTATCAGAGCAATGTAAAACAGACTTTTTTTAAAAGAGTAACGAATGGAGTTTCTTGCTCGTTCTTCTCCACTCGAATCGACATTTTGGAACGAGCGCCTAGCTTCACTGACGGACAGACTGACAGACTATTATATATTTCATATTTGTTGACGTTTCAAAAGTACCAAATTATGGTTTAATTGAAATAAATACTTCGAGTTTGAGTTTGACGGGGAAAGTATGTCTGACTCGTCAATTCTAACTGCACGCAATAGTCTGAGTATTTGTTTTCGGGGGAAATACACACATGGGAGGGCACACACGCCCGTTTCGTGGTGGCCAGGTCGTTGAAGACGCTCGTATCTCATGCACGAGTGTGCGGGTTCATAACCTACCAACGGCAAGTACCAATGTGACTTTTTCCGAGTTAATGTACTTTCTGAAAGTATTTAGACACCACTGACAAACATTGAGGGAAAATATCGTGAAGAAACCTGGACTTTTAATTTCTATTTATAAGTGTTGGAATCGCCAACACGCATTGAGCAAGCGTGGTGATTTTTGCTAAGACTTTCGCCGTGAGAGAAGAGGCCTTTGGTCGAGGCAGTGGCCACTTATAGGCTGTTGATGGTAACATGGGAGAGCTATGCTTCAGCATGACTAGGATTACTTGGTTATTGTGACCAGCTTAGTTACGTACCAGCCTCGTAGCCGGTCTGAAACAGCGCTTGCGTTATGGTTCACTATAATATGAATGAGTGAGTTTACATATTTTGGCATCCATAAACATTCTCACCTGACTTTGTTTTCAGAAGCGATTCCTTAAACCTGCTATAATTTACTAGCTTTATATCAACGACTTACATACATACATGCTAAGATTCAGATTGATAGATCTAATAGTTGCGGCTATATTAAATACTAAAGCCGAAACTGTTTAGTAGAACAAGTGCTACAGCGTAGTAGAATTGTGTGTATATGTGTATTTATGTATACATGTATATATGTTTATATATATACGCCTTTGATATTCTAAGCAGATAGCACAGTAAGTCGAAATTGTTATTCATTGATCATCTAATCTAAATTGACTTTAAAAATATGTTCGGTACTGTTTTTACAAAAAATTATAAAATCAAGGTTACATTTTCATTTAATTGATGTTATCACTTTCACCGCCTCCGCTGTTCATAATAATTCTAATGTACGATAAAGATTCTTACTCGTCATACTACTTCATTACAAGGTCAGCTACGATCATTATCTATGTGGATCATAATCTTTATATCCATAAGTTCGCGTGTTATTCCCCGGTGACGTATACAAGAATACAATTGTAGAGTAACAATAATTTTAAACTGTCAAACACCAAGCGGTCACCGGTGACCGCAACCTATTGTTCTATAATTGTGTCTATAATGACGGTACTTGACGAGTTAAGGAACAGCCATCATTATCAGTCGTGGAGGCCCGGAGGTTTCAGACGCCTCTTTCTCATCGGGCTGTTCGGGCTTAAAACCTACCAATGGCTTAAATCAATTAGACTTTTTCCGAGTTCCATGTACTTTTTAAAATATTAGTATTAGTCCTATTATTTTTCTGTCCATAGTTTTAAGCAAAATAATGTATTATTATTATCTAGTTAATAGTCTAGCATAATTTTACTTTAATATAGTAATTAAAAAAAAACATTGTAAGTGGAGTACATACAAATAAATTATTCTAATTATTCTATTCTATTTAGACACAACTGACAAACAGTGAACGACAACATCATGAGTAAACCTGGGCTTATAAATTCAAATTAACTATAAGTTTGTCATCGCTAACCCGCATGAGAAGGGAATAACTCCGTGTGAGAAGAGGCCTTTGGCCACTTATAGGCTGTTGATGATGATATTCATGATTATTATCAGCCCATTTTTGTCCACTGTTTGTAGACGTAGGCCTTTTTCGGCCTTTTAACTCGATGTTTACCGTTACGTATTTCTCCACTGCCTGTCACGTTGCGGATATCATTACTCCACCTAGCCGGAGGATTAGTCTACGTATGCACACAGTCTCCACTCAAGATCACGTATACACCAACGATCATCGGTTCTTTGTTAAAGTCAAATCAAGACAAGGAGATGCGTACAGACAAACTGCATGTGTTTGTCACATAACATAACGTCACGATTCTTCATCCCCGACGGGTCGACGGGACGGCAAAATTATTGTAAATCCTCTACGTAGAGGCGGCTTATATTCCGGCCGCGGGCTATTACGGGCTGTTAATAATGGCGTTCTGCAGTGGACGTCTTGCACCTATTATAATGACGATGATGAGGTTTCAGTACTGATTCTGATTTAACCCTTTTATTGTACCTCAACCAATTGCGGGTTACAAGCTACGCCGTAACCACAGTACTACGCCGTAGCAAAAATATGTCGCATATAGACAGATAGCGTAGCCAAATTATTTTGTGCATATTGCCCGTCTGTAACGCGTCTTTTTTCAACCCTTATTAAAAAATCTGACAAAAGGACAACAACAACTAAAAAAGACCAGAAGAACAACAAAACAGTACCTCAAACTATCGATGTACTTATTTACATGGAGTCCAACATAGCACGTGTTAAAATAATATTAGATAAGGCACATTTGTAAGATTCTTCAATAGTCGGATTCTAAAACTTTTCAGTTATAGAAAGCCAAGTACAATACAACTGATGATAGGAAGATGTCAGATCTCTACACCTGTATTCGACCCTTCGAGGATGAAGTATCGTGACGTTATGTAATGTGACAAACACATGCAGTTTGTCTGTACGCATCTCTTTAGCATTCTTTGTCGTCTAAGTATTTAATTATCGTATTAAGATACCGCGGACCACCGATAAAGAAACACGAATGAACACTACACGACTATTTTTGGTGGAAATATTGATTAGTAGCTGCTCGGTTTAATTAATAATTACTATGAATCGTACCGTGACATTTTATAGGCTATAGTATTTTTCGATCTACCTAAGTAAATAACTATCCAAAACAGAAATGTTTTTTTCAAATCGGACCAGAACTCCCTGAGATTAGCTCGTTCAAACATAAACTCTTTAGCTTTATATCATAAATAGTAAGTATAAGATTAGATATATCCAGAAAAAAGCAGTCACGCTACCGATAATACAAATGCAGTACTGCGAAAGTTTTTGGACTATTGTTTGAATCTTCCACATTGTGGGCTATCCAATGATGGGTTTAAAATCAGTAACATAATAAAATTACTATAGTATGCTGTTTACGCTCGGAATTTAAGAAAGTTCAGAAACAACTTTGTGAAGTAATAAACATTTATTGTACTCATTTAAAATCACAAATCAATCTTAAAATTAATCAGTATTTTCTCCCACTCCAAGGAGCGCATCACTTGCAACA